ACACACACACACACACACACACACACACACACACACACACACACACAAGAGGGTTGGAAAAGAGATTCTGAATGTTCCCTTTCCAGGTACACACCCCAGTCAGGCAGCTAAGCATGTGGTGAGCAACCAGGAGGACATCCCACAGCAGAGCCCAGCCATGCTGCCACCCTGATGAGGCCTGAGGGGCCTCCAGAACTGTTGGGGAGGAGAGGTTCCTGTTGCTAACAGGGCCCAGACTTATGGTATCCGGTTACGGCATGCTGACTAATACAGAGAGCCAGAGGAATTCTGTTTTGTGTGCCCGCTGGCATGTGTCTCAGCAGATGCTGGCTGGCCTGATGGTGGGACGGGAAGGTGTCATCCTGGTAGGTACAGTATGGAGAGGGAGAGAAGGGTTCTATTGCGGGGTCACGGAAGCTCCTGTGGACACGCAGGGCATCCCTGAGTGTAACCCAGGTACAAGCAGCTCATGTCTGGGGTCTTCCTCAGGCTAGGGCTCAGAGTCACTGGCCCACTGTTTAGGATAGAGCCAGGACTACAGACTCTGGTTTCCACAAGAGGCAATAATTTTCCTCCACCCTGAGAGGGCACACCCTAGCCTCTGGAGGCCAGGGTAGTAAGAGAAAACCAGCAGCAGGCAAGGTGAGCCCAAGCTGTGGAGAGGCTTGAGAGTTACAGCCCAAGCTTTTGCATGGTCAAGGTAGGGCCTCTGCGTCCTGTTCTGGACAGCTACAGTAAAGGAAGGAGGGCAGGTATAATAGGGGTGGCCAGCCCTTTGGCTCCTTTAAGCCATAGTGGACAAAGTAGAATTTTATTGGACCATACATTAAGTTTCAGGGCTGCCCAACCTAGAGACTATGCTTTATGAGAACACACAACTATTGTGTGTGTGTGTGTTCCCAGTGTCTGGCACAAAACAGGCATGCAGCAGAGGCTAATTCCTTCCTTTGGCCTTCAAAATGGCGGCAGGCTCAGGCCCACAGGAATTCTGGAGCCTGTGACCTTTCTAGAATAGTTCATGTGGTCCAGTCAGAGTGGATGGAAGGTGGGCACAGCACACACTATGTGGATGAAGCCTGTTACGGTCCACATGAATTCTTCTTGTGTGTGCCTGCTGTGCGTCAGAAAGTACAAGGCCTGATGAGATTATCATATGAGCTGTTTAAGATGTGCGTGCCAGCACCCATTCAGTGTGGGTGAAAAATACAGGATCAGGGAAGTGAGTAGCTGTCTCGGGGTCACAGTGCTGGGTGAGGCAGGGCTGAAATTCAAATCTAGGACCCTGGATTTCAGAGCTCACCCCCAGCCTGCCTGAAACCACACAGAAGCATCGGAATGTGTATGGCTGACACTGACCTCTTGAGTCCTTAATAGGGCCACATTACAGCTGGCCCCAGGGACAGCATTTTCCCTTTCCAAAGGTCCCTGTCCCTGGTATTCCTGGGGCCCTGATGGGGACAGCAGCAGTCTTATGTACTCCCCAGGGGCAGCTCAGAGCTACCACAGGCCCTAGACCTTGTGAAACCAGCAGAGCTGAAATGAAGCCAAGAAGGTCCAGAACTGCAGTCAATGGTGTGAGATTGATTCACTGGCTTCCTCTAACTTCCTGTGAACCTCCACCTCCTCTGACCCAGGTCACTGTCCACACCTAGAGGAACAGCCACCACTCTGCACTGTTTCCATGGCTACTCTGCTCCCAGGGAGGAGGAAGAGGGACTATGGTTTCCATGGGCAACTCTACAAACACCTCTGCTACACAAAGAGAGCTTTCCCTGGATATGGGAAGCAGGCTGGTTCCTGAGCATGAAGCCAGTACTGAGGGGAAGCTTGGCTAGGTCAAGGCCACACCCAAGGACATCCTGGAGGGAAGAAGATGGGCCAAATACAGAGGAAGGTCATAGCTTAGGGAAAGTTCAGAAGGAAGCAGCCCCTCATCCCCCCGCAATAGTTCTATCCCATGAAGCGACAGGCCCAGAGACCCCACAGCTACATTCCTGAGGTGCTTCCCCTCTGTAAGGAAAAAGGAGCAGGTCCTAGGGGCTGCTCCACTTACTCCTGCCACATTTGAGGCTTGGAGGAAATGGAAATGAGTCATCCTTCCAAGGGGACTGCCTCATTTCACAGAGCAAGAGCTGGCCCTCATGTGCCTTTTCATTGGGCTCCTGGGTGTCTCAGGACCAGGGTGCCAATGAAGTGGGCAGTGGGGGAATGGAAGATGGATGCACAGAGCTGCCCACACCTACTTCTCAGAGCCGGAGGCCATGACATAGATCGCCAGGGGACAGTCATCACATCCAGGCTGTGCCTTTCTTCCTGTGGCCCAGCTCCAATCCCTCCCCACCACTGGCACTGGTCCTTAAATTATCATAGCCCTGTGCTCCCTGGTTTAACCCCATAGATGCTGGAGAGGAATGGGGCTGGTGGTGGGATGACACAGGCTGTCAAGGAACACTCAGGAGGGAACCCAAGGCTCACGTCCCCATCTCTTATAAACCCAGGGCCCATCCTGGTCTACTGACCCTGAAGCTGGCTTTGCTGCTGCTCTCCTTGGATCCTACTCTATGGAAATCCTCTTCATCAGTGTGTCCTAACAGGAACCTCAGTACGGGGACCGTGGATCTGGAGAAAACCCACTCCTTTTACCTTTCAGGGTCCAATATAACTCAGGGGCAACTCCTACCAAATTAGTGCGGCTTTCACCCTGGCCAGGCAACAGGGCTGAGCATACACAGTGTATGGTCCTACTGAGATGCACGTAAGCATCACTGGTGGTCCAGACACCAGTTCCTTTGGGCCATGTAGATGGCAGAGGCGGCCTAGAAAGGCTAAATCCCACGCTAACCTCCCCAGAGACCCCAGTAAGGAGGCAGATGTGATTTTTTTGGGTCTATATTTGGTGTAGAAAGAAAAGGTGCTTGATCAGAGGTAGTAATTCTTAACCTAGTCAAATATCTGGGCTGTTTGTACCGTGGATATTTTCAGCTGCTGGAGCTGACCTGTTCTGTACAACACCCTGCGAGCCACAAAGGCTGGACTCTGGAGAAGCATGAACACATAGGCCCTCCATGCCCCGCTCCAAGCTTGCAGCTAGGCCCTGAGTTTGAGGACAAGCCGGGGGACGGCAGTATCTCCCAACACAGCTGCCCAGGGTCCCACACTGGCAGGCCCAGGCCAGCTACACAGATGAGGACAAAGCAAGGCAGGTGCTGAGTGCGTGGGATGTCAAGCACAGAGTTTCTATTAGAAAAAATATGAAAAAAAAAAACCTGGAAAAGTTCTAGAACTCTGCCACCTGTTAGCATGGTGGGTAGCGGGAAAGAATGCCCAGGAAAGGAGCCCACTGCCTGAGACTCTGTCACACGGAGGACAGAGGGTTCAATGAAGGCGGAGCACAGTGAGTGCGCACGGGGTGGGGGTTCCGATCCCCTCACAGGCAAACCTGTAGAGATTACTCACTCTACAGGTTGCCCAGTGTGCAGACACAGTGCTGGGATCCAGAAGCAGGTCAACAGACAAAGACACCCGCCCCCAGGGGACTGAAAGTTTAGTGGATGGAGACACTCAAGATGAAAGATTATACATATATATGTGTACGTGTATATATGGCATTTATAATAAGGTGACCGGGGAGGACCCACACTGACACGGTCACACTGGAACAGAGGTGAGGGGGCGAGCCATGTGGATAACTGAGGCAAGTGCGTTCCAGCAAGGGCCAGCGCGAAGGTCCCGAGGCAGGAGCGCCATGCATCCTGTGTTTGAGGGCTGGCGGTGAGGTGGCCAGCGTGGCTGGAGCAGAGGGTGTGGGAGAGAGAGAGAAGAGCAGGTAAGTCCAGCAAGGACCCAGGGGGAGGTGAGCCTGGGCCTGCAGGGTAGACTCCTCGTGAGAGAGGATGTTTAAGAACTTCCGGCGGCAGCAGCCTGCAGTCTGATCTGCTTATTTACAGAAGGGTATGTCAGGTGAAACTGCCTGAGGAGCTGCGCAGGGGATCACCACCTTAGAATATCTTATCTGGAAGTGAGGCCACCTGTGTGCAAAAGCATCCTGCTCATGAAACTGAAGGGTGAGCGTGTCAGAGTGCCCATAGAGAGCTGCAGAAATGGCTCAGCAGGTAAACATGCTTGCCATGCAAGCAGAAGACCTGAGTTCGAATCCCTGGTACCCACATAGAAAGCCGGGTGCAATTGTGTAAACTTGTAACCCCAGGGCTGTTGGAGGCAGAAAGACGGGAAGGTCTCTCTGGGGCTTGCTGCAGGTGCAGTGTCTCAAAGGAATAAGATGGATAGTGATAAAGCAGGACACCAGATGCCATTGACCTTCCTTTGACCTCTGCATCAATTCGTGGGTGCACGAAGCAACCCCCATGTTCATGGGTATATGTCTCTTGCCCTGTACCACCAGTGTCCATAGAAACAGTATTGCTGGTTGCCGTTTTTGTTTTGTTTTGTTTTTTACTGTAAGACAAACCAGCTGCCCATAGCATTCAAGTGTGGTCGCTATGGAGTTACTGGTGTTTCCTGGGGGCCAGATGACTTCCCTCTGGTCTTCAAGCTGCAACCACATTCCGTGCTGGTTGCACCAAGCCAACTCTTACCTGTCATACTGACAGTATGCTTATCTAGTACCCTGGTGATCTAATGTTGGCCCCCTATACCAGTCTACCCCCACTCCAGGGTCAGGTCCTCTATCTTGAAGACCTGGCATGATCTGGCATCCACAGAAATCCGGCCAGAAGGCCAGCACCTCCAGACTCACCAGGCATTGAGAAGGGCGACAGGAAGACTGTCTCTACTGACTCTGGCTCTGGGGGTGGCGGTGGCTGTGGTGGCGGCTGCTGCTCCTGGCCCTGCTGCGGGTCTTCAGGGTTCTCCGCAGGAATGTTTCCGTTCTCCATGTTCTCGTGTCTCCCATTTTGCAGGGGCTTGCTATTTACACCATTGGCTGAGTTGATCAACCTCTGTCGCTGCGGGAGACAGGAGGCAAGACAGAACGCAAGCTGAGTGACAGAGAGCCATGCAATGCCTTCTTTCTTACCTTCTCCCAAGTCTTAATAACTTCATCAACCCATCAGTTTGGATTGTTAAGAATTTAATAACTTAATAATCCCATCAGTTGCCTCGAATCCTTGCCAACACTTGCTGTATCAGTCCTTTCCACTTTGACCACTCTGGGCATGGGCTAGCATGGAATCTAGTTTCAGTCAGCCTTTTTCCAATGACTCATGCTTCCAAACATCTTACAAGGTTGTTGGTCAATGGACTGTCCCTCCGAGTCTCATTCCACATCTGATGAGTGTGCTCTCCAAAGCTAACATCTTCCATCAAAGCCAACTCCTTTCCCTCCCCCCTCTGTGCCACGGCTAATGACAAAAGCAGCTTTGGTGTCACCCTCGCCTGGCTGGTCTCACTTGCTCGGTCTTCGGGCTTCTTTGAACACAGGTGAGAAGAGGAGACACCTGACATCAACAGGGCTAAGCACAGAGCTCAGATGGTAAAGCACCTGCTTAGCCTGCATGAAGTTCTGAGTTTGATCCCCACATTGAATAAACCAGGCTGGGCAGCAAATGCCCGTAGCCCCAGCACTTGGAGGTCAAGGCAGGAGGGCAGAAGGATTGTAAGTTCAAGGAGGAATATGCCTAGCTGCCTTGTAAAGTCTGGGCTACAAGAAACTCCATGTCAAAGGAAAAGAAACAGACAAAAGAAAAGAAATGAACAAATGAACAGGCTTCTCTACCATCTATCTCCAATCAGCCCTCTTCACCTCGTTCCCGGTTATGGTTTATGGACCAGCCCTGTGGTCATGAAATTCCATAGTAATATTCAAATCTTTCCCTATCACTTCAACAAGAGACCTGGGAAAGGAGCTGTGGTCTTCAGCAAACTTCCATAACGGGGTGCCTGGCGCCTATCCTGGTAGTCTCATAGGGGAGCCATTTACCACTCATAATGGAAGCCTAGCCTTGCTCTGAAGACTGCTGAACTGTCTTCATGTAGGTTTGAGACAAAGACTCTTAAACCAGGAAAAGCATGGTGCATGTATGTGGGTATGTGTGTGTACATACGTGTGTGTGTGTGTGTGTGTGTGTGTGTGTGTGTGTTTGTTGGAGTGAGGGAGTGCTTCTCAACTTTCCCTCACAATCAGTCCATAACGCTCAGCCCACCAAAAAGAGCAAAGGGAGCTTTGTTTGATATTCAGGCCCAGACATGCAGTTTGTGGTTAGTTAGCTGGGATTAAATAAAAAGCCATTCAAGAAGTCCCAAACAAACCTAAACAAACACAGAAAGACCTACTCTGCAGGCAAGGCCACCACTCCGCAGAGACATGAGGGCGGTGATCCAGGAGGGTTGCAGCTCTGGCTTCACAGAACCAATAGAGAGAGGATGATGCCCTATCCCACACACATGTAAATCATTAAAAATAAGAACAGCTCTTTAAAACGACTAAAGACATGAGACTACAGTATCACATAGGTGCACGTGTGAATGAGTGTGTGTGTGTGTTTACACGTGCACAGTCGCGAGCACGTGCGGACGCAGGTGCGTGCAGGCCGGCACAGACGTGTAGGCGTGCACACAACGGGTGAACACTGGAGGACAGTCGGTTAACCTCAGGAGCTGCCTGCCCTTTCCGTTTGAAATGGAACCTCAGTGCTGGGATTGTAAGTACATGACAACAGGCCTGGAGGGTTTTTTTGTTTTGATTTTTGAGACAGGGTTTCTCTGTGTAACAGCCTTGGCTGTCCTGGAACCCGATTTGTAGACCAGGCTGGCCTCCAATTCACAGAGATGCGACTGCCTCTGCCTCCCTGAGTGCTGGGATTACAGGCGTGGCCACTTTACCCAGCTTTTAAAAATGTGGTTTTTGAGGCTTAAACTTGTAAGTCAAGCACCTTACCAACAATTTATTTCCTTAGAGTGTCTCGGTAAACAAGCCTGAAACTGGATATTTTTTGGCTTCTGTTCTCCACTGTTCCCACCCTATGCTGACTGTCCTTAAAGTTACCGCTTAGGCCCCAGGCACAATCCTCCAATGCACGTACAGAAAGCATTCTGTCCAGGAACCTCAGACAGTGGAACTGAGGCCAAAGAGATCAAGAGATTTAGTGGCGGGTTTGAGACTTGAACTCAGTTCCTTTGTCCTGAGCTCAGCCTCTGTGGTTCCCAGGCTGCCGTATAGAGCAGGGTAGCCATAGCAGCTGAAAACATTTGTGTGCCAAAAGCCATGTTCAAAATCTGCGACTCCAGCCTGGTGTGGGGTAAGCTTTGGCCCCTGGCAAGTGGAGGCCGGATGATCTTGAGTTCCAGGCCAGCTTGGACCACACTGTGAAGCCAAGACCAGACTAAATTTCTCTAACAAAAACAACCTCAAATCCTCGTGTGATAAGACACTGTAGAGCCATTGCTCCCAATCTTTCAGAGTTATTTACCACACACAGCACCCTGTGAGTATTATCCTCATGCTTACAAAAAATGGGCAGGATTCCGTAAAATTTCCCTGAGATAAATTTCACTAACACGGACCAGGATGATTTAAAACTTAGAAAGGCATTTTTTCTGCTTAATGTGTATTCCACACAGATGACACATTGAACAGTAAATCAAATTGAAAGTATTTCAAAGAGACAACCTTTAATCACTGGGGAATAATGCTTTTGCAGGCATCCACACGCTGACTACTAATTTCTACTGTCTCAGTCCTCTGGCTGCTGTGTGCTTCTGAGAATGAGGCCAGCAAGTCCTAGAATGCACTTGGAAAGCAAGGCCCAGAAATAGGCTAAGCAGCTGAGCAACACAACACAGTATCTTTGCAGTTTGGTTGAGTGATATCCAAGTTATGACTACTTTTCCAAAGGAGGAGACACTCAGAGCAGCAACTGTGATGAGGAAATCCTCAGAGGCCATCTCTCACCAGCATGGTGGTTGGAAGGCGAACGGCTCCATAGGCTCAAGTCTTTGAATGCTTAGTCCCCAGTTAGTGGAACTGTTTGGGAAGGATTAAAAGGTGTGGGTTTGTCCCAGGAGATTATGCCACTGGGGGTGGGCTTTGACTCCAAGAATGTAGAAGTCTTAAAGGAAAGTGCTGGGTACGGGGACCCGGGGCTAGGTCTCTCCTAAGCTATTTAGTTTTCTGGTGTTTTAGGAGGGACTCTGCCTCCAGAAGCTTCTGCAGTCCAGTTTTTGTGTCCAATAGCAAAAAAGAGAAAATTAGCTGTTTAAAAAGCCCCCACCAGGCCCAGGCTCTGTCTGTTTCTCTGTCTCTGTCTGTCTCTGTCTCTCTCTCCCTGCAACTTGTGTATCAGATGTAAGCTCTCTGCTTCTCCAGCACCGTGCCTGCTCGCCTGCTGCCGGCTTCCCACCAGGATGATGGACTGAGCCTCTGAAACCGTAAGCAAGCCCCCAACCAAATGCTTCCCTTTATAAATTGCCTTGGTCATGGTGAACACAGGTAGGACACCAAGACAACCGGTGAGTCTTCAAGGGTCGCAGTCCACAGAGGAGGGGAGTGTGCTCGCTTTCGGGTCTCTCTCTAATTAACGCTGCGAAGAAAACACCCAGACTGCATGTTCCTCTTTCCCTAATTAGCTCAGCTCTAGGGACTCAGGCGTGGGGTTCCTCCACTTTCCGCTTAAACGTCCATGACAGGCCCCTGCAGGCCCTGGCCTTTCTTTCCTCCTGCGAAAGAGCCAGACACACCCAGGGCCACTCACTTTCTGTTTAGCCAGTGTGCCCAACCTTTGCAACATGGTGGTGTCATCCATAAAGTTCATGCCTGAGAGCCGTGCAATTGAGTTGAAAAAAAAGCAAAAAAAATCAGTGTTTTAAATTTTGTTTTGGGTTGCATTCATAGCTCTACCAAACATAGTCTGTGGGTTACAGTTTGTACCATGTGCTTACTTGGTTAACTTACTTCGTTAATTATGATCCTGCTGGCCATCCGTAGTCGGGTCCTGGGCCCAAACTTGTTGGTGATCATGATTCGCAGGCCAGCCTCTGGGAACGTGAACTTGGGAGGGCTGGAACTCAGAATCTCATCCACCATCACCACCGGGGTCTTGCTGTAGGTAGGCTTCTCCTTCACTGTAGAGCACACCCCATCAGTGTTGGCCCCTTGCAGGACACTGCGCTAGTGACAGGAACTAATTTCTCCTCACAGTCAACACCTTGGGGCTGGCAGCTTCCTTGAGGTCAGGGGCCCAGCTTCAGCTTCTCCCTTGAAAAGTGTGGCTTACTTCTGAAATCCCCATGACTCAGCAAGTCAGGCAGGTCCAGCGAGTGCTGATATGCCACTCCAGGCCTCTCCCTGGTTGGTGCCTGGCTCTCTCAGGGACCCCCTCTTCTGGGGTTTAGCCTTGTCTGGCTGCAAGGGTCTTTCAGGGCCTTGCCCAGGACTCACTGGGACAGCCTACCTATGCCACCGACGGGTTCCCCTGAACCTGTCATTCATGACTGAGACAGGACTATTACCACCCTAGTTCTCAGAGACTTGGATAAAGCCTTTCAAGTCAATAAGGTCTTTAGGAGTGGAAAATGCTGGGAAACAGAGGGCACTATCATTGTAACCTTCCTGGGGCCCCTTTCTCTGCCTTGAAGGGAGCCATCTTCACTGCTGTGGAGGCAGCTGCTTCCCATTTTGTTTCCCAGAAGGAAAGTGTGGTGGTCAAGGATTTGGCCCCAGGCCCTAGACTAGACATCAGGGATCCATCTTGTTTGTCTGAGGACATGCTCCTGTCTGGGCTCGGCATCTCTGATGGACCCTGACACCTTTCAGGGTGCTTGGCTGCCCCCTCCAACTCTTTTCCCTTGGGAGATAGAATATAAGGCCCCGTCTTGTGCCAGTGTCCACAGAAGCGTGGCATGGTACTCCAGGTACTAGGGGGAATCTAGTAACCAAAGCACTTATGAACACAGCACCCCAAAGCAGGCGGCATGTCCCCATGAAGAGGCTAAGAAAAACAGATACTGCAGTTACTCGGCACTTGTTATCAGATACTATGGCGTCCTGCATGATGAGCTGAGTGACCAAGGAGCAGGTCCAGAGGGCAAACTCATGCAAAGTTAACGGTACAAAAACACATAAAACGCACAGCAAACAGCCCCCCTGCCCCTGCAAACACACTCACGTACGCTCCACCCCACACATGTAGCAAGGCTCAGCAGACAGGAGGCGAGTGGTTAGAAACAGCCCGAGGCCCATGCACCTGCCCAAGATGGACACTAACCTCCACAGAGGTGGACAGTGTGGGCTTGGCTCATGGATTGTGTTTATTGCTTAAAAGCATGTGTTATGGCCGGGATGAGAGCAGATTACTTACAATTTAGAAGAAGAGTTAAGGACACAGAGGCTGGCACAGATGGCCACAGGTGGGTTAGCGTGCGGTGGCGGCAGAGTCTGGGGGCAGAGCTCTTGCTGGTGGCAGGGATGCCCGGGGGGTGGGGGGTTACATGAAGGAGGGTGTTAGTAGCAGGCTACTTCCACAGGGAGCCTGGATGCTAGGGGCTGCCAGAGAGAGGGTCACCGGCAAACCCCTGCAGCAGGTTCCACACTCCATTCTGTAGAACCAGCCTCATTACAGGTACCCCATGAAGAATGCTTGGGCTCAAAAGGCCGTGGAACCTTAGAGGCAGAAGCCATGACACCTGGCTCCCTTGCCCCATCATGCCCAAGCTGAGAGTGGTAGGCCAGAGGGTACTCAAGATGCAAGATGTTTTCCTGGCAAGTCCATCTAAGGCCCAGGATTACCCCTCCCTTCTCTGTCCAAACTTAGGTTGCATCCAATACTGGGGCAGCTTGGAAGGGCCCCTTGGGACCTGCAATGGTACCCCAGAATCCCTGTGCCTATGGGGGTTGGAACCCAAACCATGGCCAACGTTACATCCTCCCCCTCAGTGAAGGGTGTTCTACAACCTGTCCCCTGTGACACCATGTGTAACACCTTGGTCTCCATAATCTGAGCTTCACTGGCTCCGTCCCTCATGGGTGTGCCTCCTGTGGCTAGAGTGGGTTCCACTGAATTGGGACCTATGTCAGTGCGTTTCCTCCTTTCTTGTAAAAGATGCATTAATCAGGTGAGCATCTGTGGCCAATGCCTTCCTCTTGGAAATACCCAAGACGGGACACCCAGAGCCGAGCAAGGATGCCACGTAGCTCTGGATTTCCTTCCCCTAACACAAGTACCACTGAGGCTGTAATGCTGGTCTGGAGGGGGCAGCTGTCCCATGGCTGGGGTGTTACCTGACAAATGCTGGGTTATTAAGAATTGAGGATATTTCCAAGGAATCAGATCCCAGATCAAGACAATTCAAAGACAGTGACCAAAGAGATAGCACCTGGCTCCAGAACCTCCCTCCACCACCCCCAAGTTCCCAGAGGAGCTTGGATGATGAAGCTGCTTTTAGGAGCAGGCCTCCAAGCAGGCCTCTGGGGTGGGCCGGGCTGCCTGTGAAGCTCCAAGGCTGGGTTTTCTCAGGCCTTGCTGTCTCTTTAGGCAAATGACACTTTGCAGCACGGATTTCTCAAGGACAGGGCCTCACTTGGAATACACAGGGAGGCCCAGGCTCTGTCACTTACTTCCTGGGATCTTCTCTTGGGCAAAGACAAGACTGAATCTCTAAATCATCAGGTTCCCCACCTGCCTCTGGAAGCACAGGAAAGTGTCTATGATGTAATTCACGTTTTGTGTGTTTGTTTTCCTTTTTTTTTTTCTGGGGTTTTCTCTCTTCTATCCTTTCCCATGGAAGTGAATGTGAATTTGATCAATGTCTCAAAATGTGGGTCTTCTCATCTGGGGTCTGTATGACTGAAGGTTGATGGCAACAGTACAGTGTGTGTGTGTGTGTGTGTGTGTGTGTGTGTGTGTGTGTGTGTGTATGATGAGTGGCTTCCACAAGTGTCCACAGCTCCTGTCTGCTCAGCCTTACCTTGCCCCAGCAATGGCACAGAAGGGTCGTCATAGCTACCATCATAGAGGTCATTACCATCTTCCAGCTCGCTGCTGACCGGGTTACCATTTGCAATGCTCTTTTGTTTGGTTGTGAAAAACGCCTGCATCTTCATATTGTACCTGTGAGTCAGGTAAGGTAAGCATGAGGTCAGAGCAGTGGAAGGGGGGGAATCCCAGACTACCAGGTGGGTGGGGCCTCAGGCATACAGTCCACATGACGCTGGGCATGGAGGGGAAGCAGGGAGGCTTGAGGGGTTTCTTGGCAGGAACATTGGGGACTGTGTGCAGTCGGAGGCACCTGCTTCTACTGGGCTGTGAGTGCCCTTCTGGGGGCATTGGAGGCTTTACAGCTGGATTTAATGATTATCCTAACAAAAGCGTTTCAGCCCACTCTACAGGGCGGGCTCAAAAGGAGGCATTGCCACCATGTCTTTTTTCCTCCCCGGGAAGCAACTGTTGTCCAAGTGGGCTGCTTGGCGGGCGACCATCTGCCTCTTATATCGTTCATGGCCAGCACAGCCAGCCCCTGGGAGAAGAGAGGCTCTCTCTCTCTCTCTCTCTCTCTCTCTCTCTCTCTAAGTCTCTCTAGTGGCTGATCACTAAGAAGCTGTCCAAGGGCAGTCACTGAAGAATTCTCCTGCTGCACATTTTAGCCTTCCACTTTAGAAAAATATGTTTTGTGAAATATTTATACAATATTATGTTTCATATGAAGGCGAGGACCCTCATAATACCCATGGTATTGTCATTCTTTTTAACTACATGAACGAAGAGGAACTTGCATGTAGCTGGGCTGACGAACACTCACAGATAGCGGTTCATTTTTTTTTTTTTGGTAGAATTACACATATACATAAATATGTACATATAGGTCACACTTTTATATGTATATATATTTCATATATATCAAAACTTGCCACTATAGTTATTTCCCATGCTCTAAGGGCACACTTGGGCGATATTAATCATGCTTATTATTATACAACTATTACTAATATTTCCTCAGGTTTTTCATCACCCGACAGCAAGCCTACGCCCACTGACAGTCCTCACCGCTTCAGCCTCTCACTGACCTCTCATCTGTGTGTCTTCATGAACCTGACTCCTCCAGATACTGTGAGAACATTGAATTCCACGTTATTTGGCCTTCTGGGAATGGCTGCTTTTATGTGGTGAGCATTTTAAGATTCATCCATATCGAAACACGTGTCAGAACTTCATCTTTGCAGCCATCTAGTCTTCCTCATGGGTAGTTTTAATGTGGTTTAGACCCAGGCAGCTTCCCAAGTGGCTCAAGGTTCCCCAACCCAGAGTACATTGCTAGAGTTATGAGTCGGGCCCTGTTGATGGGATAGTCAGTGGTCCTGACAAGTGGCATTTAATAAAGCCTGGGGCAGAGGTTAAGCTGATGAGCCCTTTGAGAATGCTATTGTGTTACTAGACTTGTTGAAGCAGCAAAAAAGTGGTTGCCCTGGGGCAGGGGAGTTTCCCAGATCAAGGAGGGATATAGGTCCTGGCTGGGGACTCTTTTCATGAGAGCATTATCTAACTGTACCACATTAGGGGACTCAGCATTGTTCCCTAACCTAAGGATGGACTACAGCCGTGCCCGAGCCGGTTCCCCACTCTGGATGCACCTAACTGGTATTCACTAGAGAATGAAGGCTCCCCCAAAGGAACTGGATGATGAGATGGAGGATATTCCCTGTTCTGGCCAGAGACAGAAGCAGAGTGTGGAGGGAAGGGGAGGCCACTTACTTCATGATGAGAATATAAAACACGTACAAGATGATGAGCACCAGGCCTTCCCACCTTGGAGAGATGATGGAGAGTGTGGTTAGAGTGGAGGAGGGCATGGCGCCCACAGGCTGGGGCTGCCTGGTCAAGGTTAGCAGCAAGGTTGGATATCCTCACTTTCCCACCCCTGGGATTCAGGTGGGACACCCCAGCATACAGCTGTTTGATCACTGAGAGTCTTCTGGGTAACTGAGAGAAGGCTGGGTCTGGGTTGTCTCAATTACAGGGCTCTACAGAAATAAGGAGAGCCCCACCCCCAGCTATCACCCCAGATGCTAAGTCTGGGGTTAGAGCCAAGAGAACCTAGGCCCACTCAAGAGTCTGGACAGGGCCTAGAGAGGCCATGGGAATAGGCAGGAAGAGCCCCAATCCCTGGGCAAGGGGCAGGGTGGAGCACAGAAGCCTCTGGGGTCGTCCACTAAGGCACAGTGTGGTACTTTCTTTCTGGAACATTCTACTGTCTTATGGATGTAGCCCAAGCCCCCAAGCTATGTGCGTGCAGAGTGGGGTTGTATGGTTGGCCAAAAATTGGAGAAGCCACATAAGTTTTTGTTCGCTTCTTTTGCAATGTGCTAATGCCTCTACATGTTGGGCCCGGCCAGTCATTTTGGGAGCCCGTGTTTTGCTAACACGGAGCTCACAGACCAGACATGAACCTACAGAACATCTCAGGAGCACCATCCCAACCCATCCACGGCTGAAGAAAATGAGGCCAGAGTGGACTTGAACCAGATTCTCTGGGTACCAAGCATGAAGTTACTCTTGTCAAGGAATTGCTGTTCTCAGCGGTCATCTGAGTGTGTTCGGGATGCAGGACTCCAGGCTGCGCCAATCACCGGGCAGTTAGCTGTCTAGCTCGTGAACTGAGATGCCAACACACCCCACCCATGGAGCAGGGTAGAAGAATCAACGTGTTCCCCAGGAGTTCCTACTTTATGACTCTCAATTACGTAAGTCAATTCCTTTTCAGAGTCACAAAGACGATTGCGTCCTTGCGTTTTCTTATAAAAACCATACTTTTAAAAGTGTTCTGGCTTTGATATGTATGCATGTGGTATATGTGTACATACACATAAATGCATACCTACATGCATGTGAAATGAGGCCAGAGGTCAACACAGGCTTTCCCAATCATTCACCACCTTATTGTTTATTTATTTATTGAGATAGGATCTCTCACTGAAACCGGAGCTAACTGATTTGGCCAGAGTGGATGGCAGAGAGCTCTTAGGGATGGACCCCTCTGTATCTGCCTCCCCAGTGCTGGGATTAAGATGTGTGCCACCAAACCTGGATTTTTATGTGGGTGTTGGGAATCCCAACTCATGTCCTCGCTGCTGGCAAGGCAGGTATTTTCCGGTTCCTTGATTTTTATAGTAAGATCTTCTAAGTCCCCCGGGCCCGAGTCCTCCACCAGGCATGAGGAAGAGCTAACAGCTGAGACTCCATCCCTCCCTCACTGCCTTGCCGGGACACCTCTCTTACGTCTCCCTCCCAGACACACACCCATGGCCAGACCAGTTCTCACTCTTGCTTACTTTTGTGTAAAGTGTGATTGCCCGAATCGCTGAGTTTTATGTGTATCTTGCTAGCAGGCTGGCCAGGAACCCTAGGGGAAACAATTCTTATCTCTCTAATAGGACAAAGCAAGGCTGCTTAGGACAATGATTCAGCAACCCAACCCATACACAGATACTGGCAATTAACAACAACAACAAAAAGGTTAAAAACTCACCACACAATTTCCTCATCGTATATGAACTGGAAAGCAAAGGAAACAAAGGGTTACACTTATTACAAGGGAAGAAAAGTGCCGACTCCAGCGTGCCCGGGTCTAATGGACAGGCTTTGTGAAAGGCTTCGGACTCTGCATTTCCCAGTTTCTCCACCATGGGAGCTGACCTCTCCTTAGTGGGGACCTAGAGCAGCTGGCTCAGCGTGGTCATCTGAGAGAGGTGGCCTGTGCTGTATTATAGCTCAGGTAGTTGCTGAGCAGACTTGGCAGGGCTTCCCCTGCTACTAGAACTGAGTTGCTAAAACTCAAGAAAAGGCAGAGAGCAAAGACAGCCACACACGTGTGCCTACATGTATATCGTTCACATACGTGTGTGTGTGTGTGTGTGTGTGTGTCTAGTTCTCTTAAAGACAAAGAGCAACCCTTTTCAGGATTCCAAGGTAGAGGGTCCAGCTGTATAAACGAAGGCAGGGTGTTTGTGTGTATGTGTGTGTGGAGGGGTAAGTGGTAAGTGGTAAGTGGTCGAGGAACAATAACACCATTTAACACATAGGTTGATCTTAAGTATCAGCCTGCCTGGATTACTGGGCACCCAGACAGTTTGTAGAATATTATTTCTGGTGTTCATGGAAGGGACTGGCATCAGAATCAGGAGACTGAGAAAGGAAGATGGACCCTTACTCTCAGTGGCGATACTGAGCGCCACTGAATTAGCAGAAGAGTCAGAACAAAAGGCCACTGCATGATAAATATGACCCCATTCTTTCTCCTTCCAGGTTGTCCAGCCTTTTAGCTCTACAACTTATGCCAGTGGTGCCATGGTTTTTCATGCCTTTGGCCTGACACTGGGCTGTGTATGTCACTGAGTTCCCTGGGTGTCCAGCTTGCAGGTGACATGATCTAAGATCACTGGAGCCTATTATCCAGTAGATCTCCACCCATCCATCTATCCATGTCTCCATCCATCCATCCATCCATCATCCATCCATTCATCATCCATCTATCCACCATCCATCCATCCGTGTTTCCATCTACCTATCACTTCTTTGTTTTTTGTTTGTTTGTTTGTTTATGTTTTTCTCTTGCACAACCCTAATTAACATGCTTCCATCTAGCATCTCTGGGACAGGACACAAGTGAAGGATGCTCTGTGGTCAAGGGAAGGGGTGGACTCCGAAGTCCAGTGTGAGAGGAGGTGGTAGTGCTGCTCTCGACAACCTGACCATGGGAATAAAAGGCTCCCTTCGTATGGACTAGAAGAGGCTGGGCTATTGTCTAGATTTGGGTCTACTGTCTGTCCCAGTGGGCTGCATACACAGGCTCTGCTTTAGGAGGCCACTTCAAGCTCTCGAGCTAGGTGTCACTGGGAACCTCTGGACCCGAGGCCCTGAGGAAGGCCACTTGACAAAGGGCCAGTGAGAACTTTAGAGGCTTTTACAGGGCCATTTTTAGCTTATACAGCCCAAAGGAAGGTGGCTGGCATTTACAGATAAGGACAGTAGGAATGTGAGGAGAATAAGACACAGAGATAGATCTACACTGTGAAGGTTTTTTGTTTTGTTTTGTTTTAATTTTGAATGAAAAAATATATATACTATGTAATAAGCATGTTATGACAAATATTCAGGCAACAGAAAAACAAGGACCTTGGCCTAACTCTGCTGTACAAATCCAAGTGTTTAAACCCAATATTTGATTCACAACCAGGGAAGTTTACTTTTATGAAAATTGAGAATGCTCCTTGGTCACTTAGAGTTTTATGAGGAATCAAGCACTCACTGAGAAATCACATGACAGTGGGAGGAGGGGCTCCACCCCTGTGGTTAAGCCCCAAACATTGTCACCAGTCTGCATTTGCAGTGGAGGGCTGCAGAGAGTTTCTGTGCAGGCAACAGATGGCATTGTTAGTGACTTTATGCCAAAATGATTACCAAAAAAACGAAAACAAAAACAAAAACAACAACAACAACAAAAACACCCCTTCAGTCTTTTACGAGTTATTTTTATTGCCCATTTATGGGTATGTTTAGGGTAGTGCAGATTTATTTTTTTGAAATTTCACATAGGTGTCTTGTTTCATGTAGGCATCGAAGGCACTTTCTGAGAGTGGTGGGCAGTTCCTGAGCTGGCCTCAGTAATCCCATTGGTATCTCCGCTCCCTCTGAACATGGGGAGACCTGTGGACTTGCCTCTGGCCATTTACAAGGTAGAAGCCACAGCCTACTTTTTAACCTGACCTCCTCACATTCTCACCTTTGTTTTGAGGGCAGGCACCTGGCAGGTGGCCTGCTGGGCCTGGAGGCCAGCTGACGGCCATATGTCCCTGAAGAGGATGCTCACCTGACAGTGTGCGAGACTTTTCTCTTCTTAGCTCAGCCTCCCCCAAATTTCCCACTCACAGGTAAGTGCTTGCTGCCTCACACTGTCAGGTCTGGCCTGGCACTCACACCCCTCTTGCTATACCTCTGGCCCTTGACTGCAGGTGTGCCCCACCACGCCCAGCTTTGGAGAAACTTTGTTACAAAGCAGTGGATAGCTAATCTAAGGGCAGTCACACCTGAAAGTTAGGAAACTGTCACAAATTTCCTTGACATTCGGCCTGCCGCAGGCACCTGCCCCTATGCACCCCTGGAAAGGTAAGAACTGCCCCACTGTGCATGGCACGTGTTTGACAGCGGTGCTTCACCGTGCGGGCCATGATGCCACACCAGCCCTTGGGGCCTGCGGTGGCACATCCCATAATAACAGACCCCAGGGGTCCTCTTTTGGCTCCTTCTGCCTTTTCATCCTTACCCTTGTCTCTGGCTCCCAGCTGCCCCCTGTGATGGCTTTGGGCTGGCCCTCTCCTGCTCTGCAGTGACAGAGAACCCAGAAACTTGCCGCTTATTACTTCCTTCCTGCTACTGAATACAGGCCCTTTCTTGCGCGTGCTAGGCTGGCACTTGGCCACTGAGCTGCATCTACACACTTCTATAGTTTTCGTCTTGAGATACGGTCTCCCCAGGCTGCCCAGGCTGGTCTTGATCATGACAGCCAGGGTCTCCTGAACTTCTAGATTTATTGCTCAGCTTGAAACTCGCTCACCAGAAGTTGGCTCTGAAGGGTGGATGGGTCTCCATGCGGGCTAGGAAGGACCTCATGTCAATACATGCTTGAACATCTCCCATATATTTTGTTTTGTCCAAAGCTTTTAGTCATTAAAATGGTCCTGGATTTTAGTCCTATTGTGCAGGGAGAGAGGGACCAACACAGTCCACTGGCACTGCTGCGACCTCTCTTGTCATAGGGCCAAGGACAGAGAGGCAGGCACCTGTGCCCTCACGGGGCCCTGACCACCCGACACATGAGGTGTGAGGGGATGACTCACCGCAATGAGCACAACCACAGAGAGTGTGTAGTACACGGAGTCACGGCAAACAGCCCACCATGTCAGCCGCACCACCTGCCGTGACAGAGAGAGGGCATCAGCTGCAATCGCCTGGGGGCTGGGAATGAGGCCAGCTGCCCAGAGATCCGGAGGATGGGCCTTGGGCTACCTCCCCAGCCAGCTCTAGCTCGTGGGTCCAGTGGAGAATGGAGATATTCTCAAGGCCACAGAGAATGGCATGACCAGCCTCTTCAGGGTGTTCCCATGGCCACTCCGACCATCTCTGAAGATGCTCACCCCCTACAGGACACTGCTCAGGCAGGCAGAGAAAAAAATCATCCACTGACCTGTCCAGCAAAGAGTCCACACACTCCGATGATACACAGGATGTTGAACACGGCAGAGCCCACGATCGTGCCCACACCAACATCTCCGTGGGTGATGAACACACCTGGAGTGAAAAAGAGAAGGACGGTGGGACCCTGGGAACCAGTTTCTCCTGTGTGCTTATGGTCAAATTAAACGTATCATCGTCATCGTCATCGTCATCGTCATTATCATCAGTATAGTGTGTGTGTGTGTGTGTGTGTTGGTCAGCAGACGACTTTCAGCAAGGGGTTCGTGGGATTGAACTCAAGTCTTTGGGCTTGCATGGCAAGCACTTTTACCGGCTGAGCCATCTCACCGGCCAGACCCCATGTCTTTGAACGACTTTATGGAGTCATAACCCGCACATCTAACGACTATAGTGCGGTAGTCTGGCAGAGGCACAGAATTGCACAGCCCCAGCCACACTCCAGTTCTGAATATTGCATCTCAAGAAGCTTGGCACCCCTTAGGACCCCAATTAGAAACCACCCATCTACGTACTGCCCCTCTGGCTCCTTGAGTTGACAGATGGGGAAATGGAGGCTCGGAGCTGGGAAGTGCCCCCACTGCAGTGGGCAGCAAGCCCCGGCGCTCTCTGCACGGTCTCCTAGCTGCCCGGTGTCCTTACCAATGACAGAAGCAAACAGCTCTGGCGTCGAGCTTCCTGCTGCCATGAAGGTGGCGCCGGCTACGTCTTCACTCAGATGAAGTTTCTGAAACAGAAAGAGCACAGGCAACTGGGGTGTGACAAGTGGTGAGGGTGGGGGAGACAGTCACTGGCCAGGAGGGTGGGAGAAAGCTCTCAGTGGCTCAGCTCGGAGCCATAGTCTCTCCTCCCAAAGCACATGCCCCATGCTCTCTGCCAGGCTTTGACTGGCCCCTTTCCCTCCTGACATCTGATTTATCTTCATGTGTCACCTCTGGGTCCCTAGGGCCTGGAACGGGTTGGAGTAGGCAGTAGTACATAACAAGGGTCTAGAAGCTGTCCTGAGGCTGTGGGATCCAGGCTCCATCCCATGCCTGGATGTTTCTCCATGTTAAGCCCAGAGCCTCAGGCACCCAGAGGGCCTGTCCCCAGTATTGAGCTGACATGGGACAAGGCTGGGAAGGTTTTTTTTAAGAGCTGCTCAGCAAGTCCATGGTTTGGTCATGGAAGCCCCTCATCTGATCCAAAATGAAAGACGGTGGACTTAGGTAGCCCTAGGCGGCCTGGGCTCTGGGCCCTGTAGGAAGTTTGGTCCCGCATCTTCTCCCCACTTGTCAGCTAGCTACAGGAGGGTCAGAGCTCTGGGATCCATCCAGGCTACAGACACAGCACTCCCGAAGGGGTCTACTCAATGCTGCCAACCAGAAGACTGCGGAGGAGGCAGACGTCCACCTCGCAATTGCAACCACCTTCGGCAGGATCGAGGCCATGCTGTCAGCTGCTCTGTCACCTGCTGCCCTTGGCTTGTACCATCCTTCTTCCCAGAATCCTTTCTCCCCTACTTGCTGAAAATACTTCCTACTTCCCCAGCCTGGGCAAACGTCATCTCCTCTAGGAAGCCTTCCTAGGCCTCTCCCCCAAAGTGACATTCCCTCCCTCTAGCCTCGTCATCTAAGGCCCTTAAAGGAAGACTAAGACAAGCGCCCTTACTCACCACTCTGTCCTTTTGGCCACAGGCAAACCTGACAGTGCCTGGAACCCTCAATGCTTAAAGCCCTAGCCCTCTTTCCATGGATTTCTCTCAAGCCCAGAGGGCAAAGAAGGCCCAACCCTATTTCTGTGGTTCTCCCAAGCTATCAGCCTAGGAGGGGCCTGGATGTGTGCTCAGTCCACATGAGTCTGATACCAGGTATCTTCTAAAAGGCCCCTGGGCTAAAGGCCTGGTTCCCAGGGTAGCAGTGTTCAGAGCTGAGCTTAGGGAAATGACTGGATCACGTGGGTCCTGAACTCATCAATGGATTAGGTCATTGATGTTTTGATGCCATTATCTGAAAGCATTGGAAACGTTTGGAGGTGGGACCCAGATTAAAAAGTGGGTCACTGGGTGTGTGTCCTGTCTCTCTCTCTCTCTCTCTGTCTCCACACATCCAAACCATGGTATCTGACTCAACACAACCGAGAAACAATGTAGCTAGCTGACCTTGGATTTCAATCCCTGAAATCATGACCCTAAATAAGTATCTTGTTACTTAAATTATCATGTCAGGTACCTTGTCAGAGAAATATAGACATAATTCGAAAAAGTCAGGGCCCATGGCTGTGTTTTTCCTAAGTAGGGGCAGCTCCCAGAAAGCAGAGGCACCCTTGCAGGAACCACTGCCTTCCGGCCTCCACCCTAGGGATCCTGAGACAGAACTGTTTGTCCTAACCTCCCATGCTCCATCTGAGAGGGTGCAAAGGTAAACAGAGGCGGGAGGCAGGGGACAGGAAGGCTCGGAGGCTTCTGCCAGCTCACAGTCTGGGGACCCTTCCAGACTGTGCAGTGATACAACGCTTCCCCGGCTGTGTCCAGAAGCAAGCCGAACTGAAGGTAGGCGCTTGTCCCTAAGAGCCACTTCTCCTCAACATGACAATATGGCCTCAAAGAGCTGGGTGACTTCACAGGACAAACGGGCTGCACATGGTAAGTGCTGCAAACAAAAGTTTTTTTTTTTTTTTTTCCTCCCCTACTTAATTAGAAGCTATGAGGAAGGCAGCGCACAGAGGGAGCCCAAGATCTTGCATACGGAAAAGGAAAAATGAATTAACCAAATAGCTAAAGGGAGAACACAATGCCAACTCGGGACAGAGAGGACTCCTGTCACCACAGCTTAGTGTCCAACCAGGGGAACACTTAGGAACGCAGATCTCCCCTGTGACTGCCACCTATGGGTTGTGGGAAATGTGCCAGTGCAGTCATGGGCTTTCCTGCTCCCTTGCTGGCCAGATTTGGCTCTAGAGTATGATGGCCTGGAGGGTGTCGTCACATGGCCATGGCTTCTGCTGAGTGTGGGGACAGGGGGACGTCATTGACACTGAGTTGGTGTTTTCCGGGTGAGGTCCGGCTACGTGATGGTCTTCTCTGCCAGAGTGCTTTTTGTCCCAGCTCTGTCTTCTTGTCCTTGTCATTTACACGACTCATTCCCCTAGTCACCCTGGGCTTTGCGGAGGGTTCCAGGTCCTTGCCACGTACCTCACAGATCTTCTCTAGGGACGGGACAAAGAAGTCATCACACACGATGGCCAGGGCGTAGAACATATAGAGAGCCTGTGAAGAGAAAGCTGGTTTCCTTGAGGGTCCTTCATACCTGCGCCAGGCTTCGGGCGGAAGCACAAGTGGATGAGGCACATGGGAAAGCCCCAGCAACGGAGAACTATTTTCCCCATATCTTCCCTGACAGAAAAGGAAACTGAGGCCTGGAGAGGGGAAACAGAATGCTGAGTTGTCTCTGTGCTGTCTCTCAGCAGTGTCACAGGGTAAGAAACACAGATTTGGAGCTGGGCAGGGTGGCACATGCTCACAATCTCAGCCCTCAGGGAGCCTAAGGTAGGAAGATCTCAAGTTCCAGGCCAGCCTGGGCTACATAGGAAGATTGTATTTCAGAAAATAGGAGAGAGGAACTGGGAAGATGGTTCAGTTGGCAAAGTGCTTGCCGCACAAACATGAGGGCCTGGGTTCAGATCCCTGCATCTATGTAAAAAGCAGGTGCAGCGGCACATGCCTGTAAGCCCGGCTCTGAGAAGGTGGGGACAGGAGAACCCTCAGAGCTGGCTGAACAACAAGCCTAACTGAATTGGTAAGCTCAGGTTCAGTGAGAGATGCTATCTTAAAAAATAAGGTGAAACACAATCGAGGAAAACACTGGATACAGAACTCTGGCCTCCAGTCTCCATAAGCATGTATGTGTACTTGTGCACACTCATAGACACGCACACACATACATGTACATGCCAAGAGAAAGGGGGGTATCCACTAATACACACAGAGAGATCTGGTCTCAGTCCCTGGGACACACATCTGAGAGCCTTCAGGATCTCTACAAGGCTGCAGTGTCCCATGTATGCTAATGAGATGGCCGGGAGTAAAAAGCACCCGCTTTTTACATAGATGCAGGGATCTGAACCCAGGCCCTCACGTTTGTGCGGCAAGCACTTTGCCCAGAAAAACAGACTCCGAAGAGCTGCGGTTGCCGGAACCTGGCCAGGTTCCTGGGGAATGGTGCCCAGGGAGGATGGGGAACCCCACTCCTCCCTGATACCTCACTCTGGGCATCTCCTCCACCTGCTCAGCCACCTATGTCTGGACCACACTTTCTGTAACACACAATATCTGCCGATGAAGATGGGGAGGTCTGGATCTCAACTTGAGGCCAGGTGAGCGGAGTATGGGGGACACTCCCTGGGGCAGCTCCAAGGAAAGTAGGGACAGCCTTGGGACTGAGCCCTGCATGCCAAAAGGAAAAGGAGGCCATGCCGCTTCAGCCCAAACACAGCGCTACGTGAACTGGGATGAACTGAAGTGAAGCTGCTGATGGTCAAGGCGCCTGTACCACGTGTCTGCTGGAATCCAGGTGGGGCTGCCCTGGGTGAGACTCATTGTCTTTGTCCCTAAGCTAGAAGAAACCGTGGGCATGTGGGTAAAGGAGGGGCAAATTGGGGGACCCCCAGTATTCACCCAGGATTCTGACTGTACTACACCCCAACATCATGACCCTGGCAGAGGTGACCCATGAGGTCAAAGGGCCTCTCTCTCTCACGGTACCTCAGAGTACTGGAGAGGAAAATGGAGCCTGGATGGCGTCACAGTTTCTATCTTTTGGGTCAGGCTAAAAAGCTTCACTGGCTCCTTTGTGTGAGTCTTTCCTGCCTTAAGGGAGGCATTAGTGAACTTCTTCCACGGAAATCGTATTTTAGACTCTGCAGGTCACGTGGTCTCTGCTAAACACTAACACTGCTCTTCTAAAGCGAAAGCAGCCCTGGAATGTGTGTGTGCGCGTGCGCATGTGTGTGTGTTCTAATAAAACTTTATTTGTAAAATCAAGTAATGGACTGGGTTCAGCCCTCCAGTCTTAGCTTAGTAATTGCCACGCTGAAGGTTCTTACAACATTCCCGAGGTACTCACACTCAGGCTCAACCATAAGGCTTTGCTTAGGGGGGCAGGGTCGCAGAACTATGGGGGAGTATCTGCCAAATCTACGTCTCCTACTGAAAGAGAATGGGATGTGAGTGCCAGGTTATCTGAAAAGCAGTAACCCCATTCTAGAAATAATACGCAGGCCCAAAGCTCAACATCTGCCCACAATCCCTATTCAAATCTCCACTTTCATTAGTTTTGCCAATCAAAACTCCACTCATTTGTCATCTCCTGGTCCTTGTTCTCCACCAGAGAATCCCAGATTCCCCTTCATTAAATTGCCTCTACAAAAAGACTCGTGGCTGGCTGGATTTCAATTTGTAAGCAGACAGTGCTGGGAAGTCCTGAGCAGGATGAAGTTTACTGGGGGCTGATCTAAAGCGGAAAAGCCAACTGCTTTGGCAGTCTCACTTCCAGCAACCATTCAACAGTCTTCTACTGGGTCCCACGAGGGCCAGAAAGCATTTTGGGCTCTGCAGAACATGCACTCTGATGCAGCTTTTCAGTCCTGCTGTGGGAACTCAAAAGCAGCCACACAGCAATGGGGTGGCTGTGTTCTAATAGAGGGCTTTACTTCTGAAAGCATGAGGCTATAGCTCATTCAGTAGACTGCTTGCCCAGCACACACAAGGCAGGGGTTTAGTCCTCTAGCACTGGGGAGGTAGGGGCGTGTGTGTATGTGTGTATCAGAAGTTCGTGGTCATCCTGAGCTACACAGCAGGTTTGAGGCCAGCCTGGATACATGAGATGTTACTGCAAACAAACAGATCTTTCAGGGAGATGAAATCTGAGGCTAGGGTTTGTCCTGTCCAAGAGCAGCAATCTACTTTAGTCCTGAATTTCTCATTCCCATTTAAATTGCTATCGAACTCCACTGCCCGCCATCGGGGTCTATCTGAGCCTTAGGGAGTTGTCCACGGCCAACCAGCCTGAACGTGCTGGGTATCACCTGAATGTGGAGGGGAGTGAAGAGTGTGGGGAGTTGAAGAGCAGTCACAGAAACCATGGCAGCCAGCATTTACAGGGGACCTGGGTACCACACCAACGGATTCGGGTGACATCTAGACCTCATGTGTACAGCCTGTTTTATGAAAGTAGAAAATGAGGCACAGGGAAGAACCATGCCCTTGTGCTGGGAGTGAAGATACCTGGTGATGTTGGTCAAGTCACCTGACAGTTAAAAAAAGGTCTCTTGTTGGACAAAGCGGCCTGGTGTCTATTCTTTTCTGAAGCTGTTACAAGGATTGAATACAATCCCAGACACTCTATGGCAGTGATTCTCAACTTGTGGGTTGCAAGCCCCTTGGAGGGGGTCGTATATTAGACATCTTACATATCGGATATCTATGACTCATAACAGTAGAAAAATCAGTTATGAAGCAGCAACGAGAATGATTTCATAGTTGGGGGTCCCCACAGCATGAGGAACTGTATGAAAGGGTCGCAGCGTTCAGAAGGCCGAGAGACGCTGCTCTCTGGCCGTTAGGTACTATACAGATGGGCTCCTGTGCCAGAAGGCTTGCAGCTTCCGCCTTGAGGACACTTACACCGAGGATGTGTAGCAGGACAGCGCCGTGCTGTCGCTCTTTGTTGGAGAACAGGTCAGTGGGGAACTCATGAATCGCTGGAAGAGAAGAGACAGAGGGTGTTAGGCCGCAGCGCATCGTCGGCAAACCCGCCTGAGAGCCGCAGTCCACCAAGGAGTCAGGGGCCGCTGGCTTCAGACTGACTGACCAGAGGGAAAGCTGGCCGGGTCTCAGTGGGGGGCAGACTGCTTCCAGGAGAAGCTCACAGATATCCCGGGACTTGAAGGCTAACTGGGATTTTGTGTCTTGAAAGATAGTATAACACACTGCACACACACAGGGCCCGCTGCTGTCTGACAGACAGACACACTGCTGGTGTGATGAGAAATAGGACAGCTTCAGCAGCTCTTTAGACGCTGACACAATATGCTCAGTTGAGTCTGAAAACACATTCACCCCACCCCCACAAACTGCATTCATAGCCTCCTGGCTGTGTTATTTAGTGGTCCAAACATGAGAGTAAGCCGAGTCAAAGCTTAGGTTCACAGGCTGTCTGCCTGTAGCCCTCGCCAGCTCTGAGCAACTCATCTGCCCCAGAATGCTGCAGCCAATGGAAGAACGGTCCCTTCTCACCTTCCTGCCTCCCAGAATGACTGATGGATATGCGCTTTCATGGATGAATACTAGCAAGACCCTTCCGGATCCCTACTGGTCTCCATCACAGCTAAACTTGGAACTTCTAAAAGATAAGGATTCCTACAGCCGAGGTCACTACTGCATTTTCAAGTCCAAGCTAGGCTTGGCTCGGTAGGTTCTCAGTAGACTTCACCAATCAAGTGAATAAGCAATTGTACAGTGTTAATGGGGACAATAATCCGCATTATCTCATGCTCCCGGGACGCCGTCTCAATTGCCGGCCCTCAGATGCTGGGAAGATCTGAGGTTCACAGCAGACACTCAATAAATGTCCCAGACAGAAATCCCCAAGCCCTGAAAATGAAAGTAATAAAATCTCACTTTTCAACATCAGATTCACCAGACAAGAAACTAAAACAGGCCGCTGTCTAGGAACCAGAGATTGTGCATACTTTGGAGCAAGAAGTACTTAATGAAAAATATATTCATTCCATTCATTATATTTTTATTTTCTAATCAAGCTTTTAAAAATAGAATTACAGGTACTGTTTCAAGGCCTGGACCTGCTCCTTGGAGTTGGAGAATTGTGGAGGAAGAGCCTCCACATTCTTGTGGCCAGGATTCTGTTTCCAGGAGAATCGGAAATGTCTGGGACTTCCCCCCCCGCCCCCCGCACAGATCCTGAGACGGTGGTTCTGCCGAGAGATTCCCAGACATCTCCTGATTCTCAAGCCACTGTGAGGAGAGCTGGCAGTGTACACAACCCTGGAGGCATGAGAAAGAGAACAAATCTTGGCTTTCCTGAGGTGGAGGACATGTCTTTTGGCCTCCAGGCAGGATGGGGCCGTGGGTTATATAAATGGCTTTGTCCCTGATCAGACTAGACCTTTCTCTCAGCCCTGCTGCCTTCCCTGCACCCCTAAGGGCATGCTGGAAGGAAGCGGGGTCAGTGAATGTCATCCGCAGTCTTCATTTTGGCCGCTGGTCAGTAGGTGACCTGGAGAGCTCTCAGCTGCTACGGTCTCCCTACTCTCCGTGCCTACCCAAAGCTTTTCACGTGCTGGGATATGGACGCGGATATATGCCTGAACTAGCCTAAGAGACAGAAATGACCGGGTGAGAGAGAGTCCAAGACTGGATTCAGGACCTCGGGTTCATCTACCTTTGGTGTGTCCAATAAGACATGTCTCCTGTCGTGCTGTCTGTCTGAAGGCTTGGTCCCTGGTTGTTCTGTTTGAGCAGCTTTGAGAGACCCAGCCTCACTGGAGGATGTACGTCACAGCGCACGGGGCTTTGAGTGTTTAAATCCCTTCCCCACCTCCAACTCACTCTCCCTACTTCACACTTGCTGGCGAGATGTGATGTCTCAGCCTCCTGCTCTGGCCGCCATGCTTGCTTACTGCCATGCCTCCCTAACATGGTGTCTTGGCCCTATTATCCCTCTCTAAGTTGCTCTTAGTCGTGGATGCTTTCTTTACCACCGAGACGGAAAAGAAACTAATCCCCCTACTCGGGGGCTGTGTGGCTGAGTCTTCTGATCTCTAGGGCCCTCTGCCTCTTCAGTGACATCTACTGTGAAAACACAAGGCTTGCCGGCTATGTATGGCATTCCTTGGCTTGAGCAGCAAGGGCCTTCAGTGAGCAGAGGCCATACCACTACCCCCCTCCCCCGTTGGCTACTAGCTGAGAATAGTCCAGTCCACCCTCTGCTGCAGCACTGAACCCTCCAGAAGTGGGCATGGTGCTGGTGTCCGTCCCAGTCTCTCTTCCACTGTCACCAAGAACGACTCTGACCTGTGGACAACATGTCCTGTGTTCTTGCATCCATTGTCTTTAGAGCAGATGGGCTGAAGTTTCAGGACACGCTTCTGTCCCTTAGGACCTGTGTGACCTCAGCAAGCTGATGGCATCTCAGGGGCTGTTACCTGGCCTGTAAATGTGACCCCCACAGACTCTGCGTAAGAGATGTGGCAACCCTGGTGACTGTTCACCAGCTCACCTGTCCCCACGGTTGCAGCGGATGTGCACCATTGCTTTGTCAAAGTAAGAGAGACAACAAACCAGCTTTGTGGGGGAAAGAGAGCCAGACCTCAGACGGGGAGGGCAAGCCACGGACTGCACAGGCCACAGTAGAACTTGCCTGCTGGAACAGCATCATCCCCAGTTCCTGAGGAAACCTCTCTCTCTTTCTATGGCTCACCAGGAAGAGGAGCGCCTACCCCTGTTCAAGTGTGTGAGGCTTGCAAATCTGAGAAGGCTCATTGCACCCCACTTACTCAGAGCCACATCAGGGAGATGGGAGGGACCAGCAGGGCACACACATGGCTTTTGAGGTCACACCTAAGCCTTTAAGCTGTAGAAATCCCTGGTGGCAGGTGTGGGGGGAGGAGAGATTTGTCTGCAGGCTCTGTGGAGCTCAGGGAGGTAGGATGGTGCTAACACACACACACACACACACACACACACACACACACACACACACACACTCTAGAGCTCAGCAGGAAGGAGCCAGGGGAAGGTGGCCTTCCTTTTGGACCTTGGCCCCCAGAAGAATTTGGCTATTGCCCGTGATCTTGGACATCCTCAAGCATCCTTACACGCAGTGTCTACCTGTTTGTCATTCTGCCTGAGCATGTATGCAAGGCTCAGGGACATTTGGGGAGATGTCTCCTGTTGCCCACCTTCCTGGGCATTGAAGGGGAGACCCTAAATGCCTTGGGTCTATAAGTACCCACGATTCCTTCAGCACCTACAAACTGCTATTTGAAGTTCCCCAAGACACACTTTAGCGTTGCTGTGTACACAGAAAGATACGTGGTAATTTTCTGCCAGCATCATCCCTTTCAAGCTATATGGTGCTGCTCATCAAAATGTACGGATTTACTCAGTGGGCATTTCCAGAGCACCCACTTAGGGCGTTTGGACTCTGGGGACTGCGGAATAATATTCTGTGTGCTTTGAGCCTTCTCCAGTAAGTTCAATGGTTGCATCTTGGAAGGTGACCCGACTTTCAGAGACCACCAAAGCTATTGATGACGAATTCCCCCATCCAGAAAGAGTAGGAGTTAAACCCCAAGTGTTTACCCCACACCAGGTGTTGAGCAGAGTGCCGAGTCTCATGCATCAGCCCTGGCACACCTGGCCCAGTGCACGGGGACAAGTAAGCAGCTGAATAAGCAACAGTGAAAAGCCTCTGGAATGATGAGAGAGCCAGCCATCACGGACTTGGGGGAAATGGAAGACATGAAGTGACTCCATTAAAGAAGAGTGCTCAAGTCAAGGCCTGAAGCCCTCAGTGCCAATTTATCAAAGTCCTAATCTCCCAAGGAGCTCATTTCCACTCACCGATGAGCAACCTGACACCAAAGGGCCAAAGGAGTCACCTACAGTCACACAACCCCAATAGGGGACAGGTGAAGAACCTGAGATGACACTTACCTTGCTTTCCTCGGTTGAACATCTTTTCTACAACAGGCAGACACTCAGGATCAAGGTCTCTTTTATCTGATGGGGGGGCAGGCTCTGTTTTCCTGGGATCTCAAAGGGCCCATGACAAGAGACAGAGCTCCTGGAAAGAGGAATGTGCCTGGCATCTCACCGATCAAATTCCATGGCTCCAGGGGTGAGCCAGCATGGGTATTCCTCAATCTCCTTAAGACATCTGATAGGACTGACCATTTCTCAGGCTGAGGAGATGGCTCAGTACTTGCTGTACAAACGTGAGGACCTGAGTTCAAATTCCCGACACCCATGCGGAAGGTAAGGTATGACAGTGCATGACTGCAATCCCAGTGTGGAGACGGGTGAATCCCTGGGTTTTGCAGGCCAGCTAGTCTAGTCGTAATGAAGGACTTCAGGTTCAGTAAGAGACCATGTCTCAGAAAAGTAATATGAAGGGTTAGAGAGATGGCTCAGTGTTTAAAGAGCATGGACTGTTTTTCCAGAGAACCCTGGTTGATTCCAGCCCTCACATTGCAGCTAACCACCTGTAACTAAAGTTCCAGAGAGTCCGACACCCTCTTCTGGCTTCCCATGGGCACCAGGCACACACAGAGAGCACAGACATATATGTAGGCAGAACACTTACCCACCCATGTAAAGAAAATATAAATCTCAAAAAGAAAATAAGACAAGGTAGAAAGCAACAGAAGCAGATATGTGTGTGTGTGTGTGATCCACCCATCATCTACCCACCAGT